TCTTGGATCGTTAAGGGGTGTAACCTTCATCCTATGTACGGTTTACAAGTTCCTTAAAAAACTTGTTGGCGACTCTTTTGCTCTATCTTCTTCCATTTTGGACGCCATCGTACTTTAGTGTATGATCACAGTGGGGTTCAAGCTAGTGGGATTTCAAAGGCTTGAAACTATTCCCTACAGGCGCGCACCTAAGGTTCGAAATTGTAGAATATTTCGCCCGATCGGGCAAGGAGTCCCAATCGGGCGCACAATATTGATTTTGTCGGAGCTTAATTTCGCCCGATCGGGCGCGCAAGTGAAGAAAGAAATTGAGTGCCAAAAAAGAAATATCGGGCAAAGCTCGCCTGATCGGGCGGGCGAATTGGCGATTTCCAGGTTCGAGTTCGCTCCCGATCGGACGGAGGTCGCCCGATCGGGCGCGCACTTTACAAATTGTCAGGAGCTACCTTCGCCCGATCGGGCGCGCCTATTTTTATCCGGGTGTTTAAACCCTCCTTCTCCCTTTCTCTTTTCTTTTTCTTTCTTACTTCTTCTTTCCCTTTCACACTTTCTCTCTCTAAAACCTCCATTTTCAAACCTTCAACTCCACTTTCAATCCAAGATCTCCTCAAATTCACCCATCAAAACCTCAAAATTTTTACATATTCTTAATTTATCCTCACACCTTCCTCTACATTTTCCACCCACTTTCTCCCACTTTCTCTCATAATTCCTTCTAACCCTTAGAGAGAGAAAGCTCCACATACCCAAGAAATTGCACTTTTGCAGCATTTTCCCGCGTTTTCATGGATCAACTACGGAAGCTAAAAGGACACGACTACTCTTAAAGCCTAGGATCGGTGAGAGCCGGTGATTAAGGGCTCAGTACGAGATACCGGGGCTATTGGATCGATTAATCAAGACCCGATGAGGAAATTCAGATTGGGCCGAAGAATTGAGCTCAATCGAAATCCAAGCCTCGAAGAAGAAGACCGGGCCCGATCGGACAAGCATACGCCCGATCGGGCGGATGCGCGCAAAAGAACCCTCAAGGAAGAGGCGCGCCCGATCGGGCGCAGCATACCAGCAGTGGGCAAGGAAAAAGGCAGGCCCGATCGGGCGGCCCTTCGCCCGATCGGGCGCGTGTTTTTCTTAGGAGACTGATTAGATTTGTTTTAATTTTTGTTTTGAGGAATGTTTAAGTACGAATTATGTACGTAAATTCTAATTACCTTCTTCTTTAGATTTTCTCTCTCTACTTAGGATATTCTCTCTCTTAATTTCTCTCTCAACTTTATTCTTAATTACTTTTATTAATCCAGATTTCTTTTGGTAACAATTTCTTCTCTTTTAATTTCATTTATTTTATTTATTTCTTTGATTATATTTTGCTTTATTCATTTGATTAGTTTAATTATGATGATGTTTGAGTAGTTTTATTTCTAGGGTTTATGGGAATCTAATAAATAATATGAAGGGGTAAATTAAATTTGTGATTGTTGATTATCAATGCTTGGTTAATTTCCTATTGATTGATTTAATGCTATGCAATTAGGTTTGGCCAGATTTAATTGTATGAGTTTAGCAATATTTATTCGAGATTCGAAAGATGAGAATTGATGTTTAGGCTTAGTTTCAATAGGCGGACTAATTTATAAATGGTTAAGTCGAGATTCGACAGATGAGATATAATACCGGTAAATTAACTCTATGATTATAATACGTAGCGAAAGCCCTTTATAATTTGATTAATCAATGCTTGATGATTGCTTATTCTGATTTGCCCTGGAATATTGTTTATTAGTGAACCTATGCCCTAGGTCTTTTAATATTTGATTTCTCCCTACTTTATTTCCTCGATCTTATTCTTTGTAGTATAGAATTTATTTACAACAATATTGGTTACTTTGATAATTTAGATTATAATAATTAATTAGGAGTAGAAAGACTTGTTTCCCTGTGGAGTTCGACCCTACTTCCCTATCTACTTTAGTTAGAGGACTTAGGTAATTACTTTTGATTAGGGGATACGACTTTACCCTGTCAATATGACTGTGAAAGAGATGTGGGACTCGAATACAGGGTGGAAACTAGAACAATTTGCTGATTACTTCTCGGAGCAAACCTTAGGTGAGATTGCTGCTTACTGTGTCATTGATGATGAGGATATTATTGATGAAATTTATTGCAAAGGCACTCCGTCGGGAAGTTTTCCAATTAAATTTGTTATAGCTATAATTCGAGAAGAGGTGGAAGTCGATTTGCATGATTTTAAGGGTGGAAATTAATCCGGAGACTCCCAGTCCCTCAAAGAATTCTTTTCTTCTAGTGGTTGGCCACATAAGATAGATTAATGACAAATAAAAACAGGTTTGTTCAAAACTTGACTGAGGATCCTAGATGCCTTGCGTGCGAAGCTACAGAGGAAAATACAGAGTATATATTGCGTGTATGCCCTGTGGCCATAAACATTTGGTGGAAGTTAAGGGCTCGTGACATTGGCAGCAATGAAGAGCCTCATTTTGCTAATTGGCTGCTAGAGAATATTGCGAGTCGGGACTCAACTAGGGGTGAAGAATGGCCAAGAGTATTTGCGGTGACTTGCTGGTGGCTGTGGCGATGGAGGAACGAGAGTTCTTTCAATGTGGAACCGAACATCCCCTTGGATCAAATTGTGTTTATTTTTGCTAGAGTTGGCTTGATTAAACAAGCCATGGAGAGTAGAACTTATATGGCTCAACAAGGAGGAAAACGCAAAAGGGAATTGGTCTATATTAGAGGGATGACTCCGAGTGTAGGATGGGTAAAATTGAACACCAATGGTGCTTCAAAAGGTAATCTTGGAGCAGCGGGGGCTAGTGGAATAATCAGAGGTTGCGATGGTTAGTTATATGAGTGTTTTGCCTTGAACTGTGGCATTTGTTCCTACACAAAGGCCAAACTCATGGTTATTATGAAAGGATTACAGGTGGCCTGGGATGCCGGACATCGCAAAATCTAGGTTTCAGTCGATTATGAGGTCATTACTCGTATGTTGGTAGATGAGGTCCCTATCAACTCTCCATTCATTCACATCTTGCGCAGGTGCAAGGCCCTGATGTCCGAGAGGGATTAGGATGTTGATAACTCACATTGCTATCGTGAGGCTAATCGGGTGGCCGATTGGCTTGCGAATTACGGTGTGAATGCAACTCCATCCTTTATCCATTTTAAAGTGGTCCCGAGGGATCTTCAAACCGTTTTATTGGAGGACTTAGGAGGGGTGACTTTGGGTCGTATGGTGCCGTAACAAAATAATGTCTAGCTATGCCCTTATAGCATCATGTTAGCTTTTCTTTAGCTGTTTTGTTTTTTCGTTTATTTGTTTTCTGTTTGTTTATTTTCTGTTTGCTTGTTTTGTTTAGGGGCTTGCCCCTGTCTTTCACCAAAAAATAAAAAAAAAACAAAAAGAAAAGACAAGTGTCGCTTTAATTTGGGCATCGCAAAAATTAAGACACTAAATAATAGTTTACATTGTTCACGTTAACTCCCAAACCTTAAAAATTTATATTTGTCAAGCTCACCTTGTATGGTCGACTACAAGATCTCTAGTCATACTTGGCAAATTCGATTTACAGTTCATACCTCAAAAGGCAACTAAGGGACGAGCGTTGTCGTCGGATTTCCTTTCCGAGCTCCCAACTTAGAAAGACATTACATAAACACACGACATCCTAAATGAAGACTTGTTAATGACCGAGGATGGCACATGGTTTTTCTATTTCGCCGGCACATCCAATCAAAAAGGACTCAACGTTCGAGTTCTTATCGTACGGAGCACACATACCTTACAGTATAGCTTGATTTAAAGTAATCAATAACGTTATAAAATTCTGCATTAAAAGACTCAGGGGCATTTGAGTTTGAAAGCATATGTCTTCATCTTTGTATTTGTTTATACTTTCAATAGACTTTTAAGAACCTTTATTTTTAAAGATTCAATATTGTTCATCAGTAGAATTTGATATAATATAAGTGTGTAATTCATTCATGGATACGTAAGAATTTGGGTTATATGCTTAGGAATGGTCTTTGATTTATACAATATTTGTCTAATACTTAGCCTTTGGGTCAGGTCACTTCAGGTATTAGGTCAAAAGCAGGTCAACATACTCCACTTCAAGCTGGATCCGTTTTTGTGTAGGTCACTTTTGGTTTTTGGTCATTATTTTGGGTTTGAATTATGTCTCGAGTCGAGTAATTCAAGTTAGGTAATCAATTATAGTCAGTTTTGACAACTCAAATTCTATATTACTACTTCAATTTTTTATTTGAGTTAAAAGAGAAGTACCTAGACTAGCCCTCAACCCCCTTTAGCTTTTATTTTTTTTCATTTTTTTTATCTTGTATTTGAAGGTTAGACACATTGAAAATGAGGGATGAGGGTAAGGGATCTCCACCCTCTCAAACCATAATTTGTAATTATCTCCTAGTACATTTTACATGCTTTACAATGGTTCATCCATCCTAAATACATAGTACATAGTACAATTCAATATCTGCATAAGAAATCTTATGGATATTCTAGATCATCATCTTGCTAAACTACTCCACCAAGATGATTTCAAAGCACATTATAACTTTTTGGAGAGGACTTAATTAACGTACGCTCAATGGTGGACTCGATGTACAATGGAATGGGAGACAACCTTAACAACGCACCCTATTAAGTCATGATCTTTTGAGCTTCTAAGTAGAGTAGATCAATTATTATTATTAAAAATTTAAGTTTTAATTATTGATTATTATGAAGTAATTATTAATTACAGTAGAGCAGATCAGATTAATTCAGCTCATAATAAGTAAATAACAAGGCCTTTTCTTTTCTTTGCATTTTAGATGCGGTACCTAAGTACTCTATAGATGTGATAAACTATGTGACCTAAAAGGCGAGTTTGAGCAAGTGTAGAACCACTTTTCGACTTAAAACCCAAATTCGATCCAAAAAGTCTACTCTAACTCGACAAGTCCGTCATATTTATATAGGTTCGAGCAAGATATTTGATGGCCTGGCCTTGCTCGAAATTTTGATCACTTCTACAGGATTAATAATTTGTTTCAATTCCCCACTTCCTGTTTTCCATACACGGTTGCACATTACACACCCATTGCCAACAACCTTCAACGACTCCACCTCTCTCCTTCCCAACATTCCGATGCCTCCAAAGGGCCGTCCACGGCGCGCCGCCGCCCGGAAAAAGCCACCACCGCCGGAAAATCCCACCATTTCAGCCGAACCTTCCGAAGAAATACATGCAGATAAACAGCAACCGCTCACTGAAGTTCCTCTTCCCGACAACGACGTCGTGTTGGCTCCATCATCAGAAACCCTAATCGCCGGAAAACCAGAGCCACCTGAGAATCAAACGCAATCGACGGAAACCGCCGTGAAATCTCAAGACGACGTCGTTTTGGGTTCTGAGGAGACTAAGGATAAGGATACTGTTGGGAAGGCGAAGAAGGTGGTGAAGAAGACTGTTAGAGTTGTGAAGAAGGTGATTAAGAGAGTTCCGAAAAAGGTTGTAAAATCTGAAATTGATTCTCAAATTGATAAGGTTGATTCAATTTCAAAACCTGAATTTACAGTTTCTGCTTGTGTTAATAAAGAGGAATTAAAGTCTGCTGGAAAATGTGTTCAATTGAAGGAGGAAATTAATAATTCGGTGTCGAATTTCCGAGAAGAGGAATCGAAGTCTACTAGTAGTAGTGGTGCTCAATTGAAGGTGGAGAATCATGATTTGAACTCGAATTCGACAATTTCTGCTAAGGTTGGTGTTCAATTAAAGGCGGAAAATCATGATTCCGATGTTTTGGTTTGTAAGATGGAGGAGGAGGAGAGTAAGGTTGAGGTTAATGAGAAGAAGGGTATTCTAGAAGAAGTTCGAGGCGAGAACGTAGTAGAAAAAGGAAGTGAATTGATGGAAATTGAGAGTGTTTCGAACAATGAGGGTAATGTGGAGGAGAGGGGTGGAGAATGTGGAAAGGAAAGTGAGGGTTTGGTTATTGCCGAGGGCGCGAAACTAGAGGAGAGTAAGGGAGAGGAGGTGGAAGATGGTCAAGGAGAGAGGAAGTTGTTTAGAGGGGAATTGGAGGCGATGGAGCGAAAGAAGAGGCGAAAGACGGAGATATTTATTGGCAGGTTGGATAAGGATGTCAAGGAGGATGATATTAGGAAGGTTTTTGCAGAGGTTGGTGAAATTGTGGACTTGAGGCTGATTTTGAATAGTAAGACTGGGAAGAAATTTGCTTTTCTGCGGTATGCGTCCGCAGAGGAGGCCAGGAGGGCGTTAGATAAGTTTGCCAAAGTTGAGGTATATGCTAATGCTGCTGGTTTTCTTGCTTATTTGATTCATTTGCTGTTTTGTTGCTTAATAGAGGGGTAGGTGTGCAGTGGTTCATTTCCTGGTTGATTTCGTTAGATTTTCGAGTTCTCTATATAACTGTTATCTTCTCTGCCTATGGTAAGACACTGTTAAGTTGTTCTGCTATGTTGACTTCATATACATAGTAGTATATATGGGCTCATAACTGGGATCATGAATTGTATATTGTTTGATTTATTTAGCCTGTATGTTTGATGTGAATTTGTGAAATATGACTAGTTTCCCCTAAACTATTGCAATATAAAATATATTGATTGTCTTTACTCAAATAGCATTGCATAAACCCAATATTATATACCAAATAAGTACTTCGTATAAAGCATTAAAGGAGTAAAGTTTTGTGCTTGGTTTTGTTCAAATTCGGATAGTATGATCCTCTGGTCAAGTTTGGATTGCATCGTAGGTTTAAAATGGATTAGTATCGGACTCATGTATACTACGGGTCTAGTGAGTTCTGGCTCAAGTTAAGATCATGTTATTAGTTTAAGATTTCATGTCAAATATAATTTGGGCCATTAACAATTCTACCTTTAGAGTTGACATGATTATCTATCACGTTTACCCATGCACAATTTCGATTATATATCTAATTATCAATAAGTAAAATTTATACAAAGCTGTTATTACGAAAATATACAACAAAACGATTCAGACAAGATCCTTACAGCTAGTCAAAGTAGAATTTGTAAATAGTGTAAAAATCAATACATGTCAATTTAAAAAGAATGGAGGAAGCAATTGTCATGTATTCATTACACTCCTTGCCACAAATCTGTGATTGCATGAATTAATAGCGCCAAGCAATTTGTAAATAGTGATTATACTTTACTTCCTTTATTCTAAATTAATTGACATGTATTCATTTTAGGGAACCTTCTTTATAGGTGACAAGTTTCTAATTTGGGTAAATTTTTTATTGTTAAATGTCAATATTACCCTCTCTTATTTTCTTTCTTCTCCCTCTTAACAGACCCTAATCCACTCTTTCATTTCTCTCCTCCGAGTCCTCCCTAATCCACTATCTCTCCTTTTTAATAACCACCCGTCCACCACCACGATATCTTCCTAAAACCGGTTTCCTCCCTCTCCGCATACGATATCCCTCATTGTAGATGTACTAGGGATTAAAACCATGTACATAATAAGAGAGAGAAGAAAAGATTAGGCTGGAGAGTAGTAGCCTAAAGCTACTAGTTTAATAGCTTTAATCTTTTGCAATCAAGAACCAACTTACTTTATGTCTAGACAGACTCTAATAACCTTATCAACACCGTTTACATAATGCAATTTGGAACGTTATTCTTGTCTATCATGTTCTTGTGCAAATTTGAAATTACTTTCCTTTTTATGATATTTTTATTTATTTTAAAAATCTTTCTTGGCTCTATTAATTCATGCAATCACAGATTTGTGGCAAGGAGTGTGGTGCAACCCCTGTCGAGGGCAATGATACAATTTTTCTTGGTAACATTGACAAGAAATGGAAGTATGAAGATGTAAGACTCATGCACTTTTTAAATTCTTAAAAAGCACAATCTTTAGGGCGACTTCACTAACTAAACTTATGTTTGGGTAGGTTGTCAGTTTGTTGAACAAGATTGGTATTGGAAACATAGATAAGGTCACAGTTATGGTGGATTCTAATAACAGCGAATGTAATCGTGGATTTGCATTTGTTGAATTTTTAACCATCAATGATGCTCAGCTTGCTTATACGAAGCTTCAAGAGAAAGATGTTTTTGGGAAAAATAAAAAATTAAAGGTTGCTTGGGCTGAACCTTTGAAGGAGCTTGATGAAGAAGAAATGCTAAAGGTATGTGTTATGTAAAATATATTGATGCTATGGATGGATAGGAACTCACAGTGTTTGGCCTAATGACCAGTTGCAAATGGTCAATGAACAGTTTGCAAGTATAGCATTTTAGATTTTCATTAACATGTGTAAGAATATATTAAAAGCTTGTAAGGATATTTGAGGATCTCCTAGAAATTAAGCATGATTATTTGTGGTGCAATTAATATTTTGCAGGTCAAAACAGTATATGCGGAATTTATACCTTCCTCTTGGGATGAAATGAAATTGAGAGATACTTTTAAGAAGTTTGGGGAGATAGATGAAATTGTTCTTGCTCGGAATCTAAAAACAACCAAGCGGAAGGACTTTGCATTTATCAGTTTTAAAACTCGTGAAGCTGCCATCAAATGCATTGAATCTTTTGGTCATGACTTAAGCAGCAAAGATGAAAGCAAGGTTTTCTTTCTTATTCATAAAACTTGTAAATGCTTGTATCAGTTTATGACTTAACTAAAATGCAATTATGTTTTTAGGTAAGTGTGAAAGTCTCCCTTGCTAAACCAAAGCCAAAGGTAAGACCAATTGCAAAACCTTTTGCCAAGGAGGTCCCCCAAACAATGCCAAGAGCCAGTCACAGTGAGTAAATCATATGCTTGTTGTAAATAATTTGTTTGAGACGATTAAGATGAACTTAGCTGTTGCGACTGAATTTTGATTGATTATTGCTTTTGGTGATTGGTTTACTCATTGCAAAGTTTTATGTATAAATTTTCATTAATACGAAGTATTTTTTGCAAATTATTTATTTAATTTTATATTGTTAAACTTGCTTTGTCCAGCTTATTAGTATTTAAGCTCTATTATCCTTGGGTATTCTGTTTGATGTAATTCTTAATATAATCCCTCTTTGCAATTAATTTCTTTTCAGTGGCGAATGTTCTTTAAAATGATTCTGTGAATGTCTAATGACCTTGTTTCTGCTATGCCTGTAAAGCTTCCTGAATTATGTGCTTTAAGATATATATTAACAATTCATAATTTATCAATGTCGTTAGTGGTAAATATTTTGACTCTATGCAGGTAAAATTAGGCCAAGTGAGCCTTTAAACTGGATACATCGTACGGTACCTCGTCATGGTATTCAAGTTCCTGACATGTCTTCTACGAATGTTGAGTTGGTCCAGTTATTGAGAGAGCAAGCTTCATGGAGATCACCACATGCGAGCCTAAGCAGCAGTAATCGGATTCTTTCTTTTCTTTGTTAGCATTATGGAACTCATTGCATACATTGACCAAGATATGCTTTTGATTAGTGTTTTTTCCCCTAACTTAGACTCTCTCTCTCTCTCTTTATTTTTTATTTTTTATTTTTTTATCTAAATAAATACGGTGAAGTACTTTTCAATATCTACCATCCAGCCTTTAATGTAAATGATGGGCATTAGAGTCTAATTTGATGTCAGCTGTATGTTCATTCTATAGCATGAAGGATTTATGTGAGAGAACTTCTTAGGTGGTAGACATTTGACAATATGAACCATAGGGAGGAAAAAAAATCCTAATGAAACGTCACAATAGATTAGAAGCATACCAACACAAATATAAGCGATTAATCATAGAAAAGAAGCAAGCATGTGTAAAAAAGGGTTTTCAATATGTGGACACCTAAAAATGGCTCCCCAACCGAAACTTGATGGGTAGAGTGTTAAAATAAAGGAGTACTTAGTTTTATTTCTAAATCCATTTAATATAATTTTTCTAGCGCATATTTATCTTAATCTTAAGCCCAAACTGTTAAATTTATTCCTTTATAGGCGGATGAGATACGTGGTTATCCCTGATGAGACACGTGTCTTAATCTTATCCCTTTATAGGCTGATAAGACACGTATTTTATTTATCTTAATCTTAAGCCCAAACTATCTCATTTAGTTGATGAGACACGTGTTTTATTTATCTTAATCTTAAGCCCAAACTATCTCATTTAGTTGATGAGACACGTGGTCGGGGAGACATGTTTAGGCGTCTACACAATACCTTTTCACCATAGCTTCCTTGTTGGGCATCTATTTTGTTTTCCTTGAAGCATGCAATTTACTTTGTTTGGGAAGGCAAAGGATGCAAATATGGGTGGGCGAATACCCATACGTAGAGTGCTTTTTGTAAACATAAGAAACATTTTTAGCTTGAAGAGTTAGAGTAAGCCTCTGGAAATTTTCCTTTTGGTCCACACTATTGTTGTGCCTTGACACTTTGATATTTTCTAGAATTCTAGTGTTTAGCAGTAATCAGTTCCTTCCCTGGCACTATGTATAAATATTTAATCTGCTAACCATAGGTGGGTGGTTTTGGCAGGGAGGGGATGGCCACATCTGGGGGTTATTGCTTAAATCTCTAGTTTGGCTTTCCTTGGTTAAAATTATGTCTATACAATTGCATTTAGGCAATTGGTGGTTGTTGTTGACTTCTTGTTGGGCCTTTAAATTTCTAGAGTTAGCCTGCCCTTTATGTTTGGGATTTGTTCCCCTTCCTATGATGCATCCGGAGATTACCTCTTTAGCAGTTCTCTTTTTATCACCTGAATTGAACCTTGAGGAAATTTATTTTATTATGGATTTATATGCAGGACCCATGGATCTGCGCTACTCTAACCCCTCCTTATCTGGGAGGAAGCGTCAATATCCTGAGATGGTAAATGATATTAAGTATTTAACCTGTATCTGCCTTTTGGTTCTTGTTTCCTTTTATAATATTTCCTTTGTTTTTTGCTACTAGGAAACTGATCCGCTGCATGGAATCTCAAACAGATATCCTCAATTCCATTTGGATGCTCCTTACTCTGTTGCAAGTTCAAGGTGGTTTGTTATTTTAATTAAACTTATGAATGCAGCTTATTTTTGCAGTTAGTATTCTGTTTATATTCTTTTATGCTGGGGTCACGCTGTCATTAAATAATTAGCTATTTGTTGCTTCTTTCAGTCAAAATATAATGCCTCCTAATGTTCTTACAAACCCTATGGCCTATCATCAACGGCATGGTGGGTACACTTCTGGTAAGTTGACTTAGGATTTTCAATGATTTGATTGAATGGTTTTCCTCTTGTATTCATAACACAGTGGTGTGTTTATCACCAGGATCACTTTATGGAGCCAGAAATTATGCAAACAATGTTGAGGTATGTTGGACAGCATTGAATTATACCCTAGGCTACTAGCAGTTGCCTATCATTTCAGTGTAACCCGATGGTTATCTTAAACTTTCTAGCTCTAGGAAAAAAGCAGCACTACGATCTTCTATTATCCTTATCACTTTGCCTGTCATTTCATTAAATTATTGAAAATATTTCTACCATGTATCTTTGAGACATGCTACCCACCAATCTAGTTGGATGTTGTGGATTATAGATCATTTTGCCTCCACAAATCTCCCTTACGCCAGTCACATATCTAAACCTGACATTTGGTGGTTAGAAGTTGAAAGACTTGAAACTGTGTTGCTATGCTATCACCCACCAAAAATTTGGTAATTGCTCACTTCCAAACCCTTACCTCCCCTTCTCTCACCATTCCATAAACAAAATAAAAAAGGAAAAAAAATGATTAGTAGGTTTCTTATGTTTATTTTTCCTAGAGCACCTGTGCTCATGCCTAATGGTGCAGTGCAATGAGTTCCTGACTTGCTTCTGCTGTTTCTTGCTATGGCAGATCAGGGATAAAGCGCACGAAAGCAGTTTTCGGCGATGTAAGTAACTGAACTATAGAAAAGCTAAAAACATTGATACTACCCACTTCACCATGTTGGAATCCATGTTGCATACATTGTACATGTTGACAGTTTTATTGCCCTTATGTGCTTATGTGAAAATGCTCGTGTTCATGCTACTACATTGGTGGTAAAAAAACTCCTACTTGCAAAGACGTGTAAGGAGGGATCTCAATTCTCTCATTATAGGATATATAGTTCTAGTCCTTGGGTGGTAATACTGAAACATTTGCTTATATTGTTATGAACATTTTGCAAAATAAGACATGGATTCATAAACTTTCATCGCCTTATGTGGAGGGATTAGTTGGTAAGGCGTAAGGTGGGGTGAGAAACTGTATTCTAGGGAATTTAAATTGTTTGACCTCTACCCTCAAATAAAATTTACAGTCTCCACTTATGAGAGTTGATATTGGAGTACATAAAGAGTACACTTAACCCTTTTCTTTTTGCAATAGTTATGGACAAATTGATCCGTTCAATTCAAGAAGAAATACCATGATGCATGATGTTTGCGGATGCTTTTGTATGAATCGATGAGACAAAAGTAGGTGGGAAGGCAAGGTGGAATTCTAGAGATAGACATTCGAGTCTTGAGGCTTTATGTAGAAGTAAGACAAACTATTTGGAGGCGTAAGTTTAGCAGAGTTTGAAGTAGGGAGGCAACGGAAATCTTTTTGGATCGGAGTATTGTGCAAGGTTTCGAATTCTTCTGCTATTTAGGATCAATTATTCTAAAAGATGGGGAAATGGATGGATATGGTGATTGTAGAAATAAAGTGGGTTGACTGAATTGGAAGACTGCTTCAGGGTTCATATGTGATTCATATGTGATTCTGGCATGCCCCATAGATTGAAGGGAACATCCTACCACATGACAGATAGACTTACCCTATTATATGGTGCTGTGAAACATTGTCATATTCTTAAGATGAATTTGGTGATCTGTGTGTTCATGTGTTGTTATGGATGTGTGGTCCTACACTCATACTAGAAAGGAATCAAGGGTTCACCTATTGATTATAGGATACGGGATTATCGCTTAAGATGGATTGGTCATGTAAGACGCACTGGTTTGGTTAGGGAAGGCTTAAAGATTGCAAAGATGATATTGTGAGGGTTAGAGTAAGACCAAAGAAAACTTAGGAGGAAGGTTATTGAAAGCTATATGAGATTTTTGGGGATTGAGGGAGTTGGATTGGGCGTAGTGAAAGAAGATACTCGTAATACTTTTATTTTCTTTCCTGTGTGTGTGTTTTTCTATATACTTTTAGCCCTGTATTTCACTAACTTTTAGTTCTCACTTGTATTTTATGAATTCTCTTTGCTTTTCTAAATTTATGCATTTGTGCTCTTAACATTTAATTACATCCATGATTTAATTTTCTTGTCACTACTATGTAATTTCTTTGTTTATATTTAGTTGCAACATATCTATTTTCATGCCTGCCCACCATTGATAAGTAAAAATTATAAAAACCTAATTTTTAAAAGTATACTTTGAGAGTAATCTAAAAAGATCACACCTCACTATATTTTATGTGAATATAAATAGTTCAAGATAATCTAAATTGTGTAGTGAATAACGTAAAAGCTAAAACGTTGAACAGAAAGATTTGCAGGAAGTATATGTTTATCTATCAATGGAAGATGTACAAAGTGCAATGTAAGGGCTTGTTGTTATGGGCCTATTGTAGTTATTGAGTTGAAGAAGTTTCATTTGTCGTGAGATAATAAAAATCTACCCTATCATATAATCCCTTTGTCTATTTATTAAAAGCCTATTTGGGTTTCTTCATGAAATTAAGAAACTTTTAGATTCCTTAAAACCCAGGAAGTAAATTGAATTGCTTAAAAAAATCAGAAAAATTAGTTGTCCAAATCACTTTCTCTCTCCTTCCTTTGGCTCAGCTCCGCCACTTCCCCCACTCAAATTGAATCTGTACAACTTCATCTCTCCTCCTCAAATTGAATCTACTCAATTTCCTCTTCCCCCATTTCAGTTTTCCTTCCCTTTACATGTATTCTTTTTAGGTAAATGATTCCTCCTTTTTTTTTTCGAGTATAATGCGTCAATGCTAGACAAACAAAGTTTTAAAGCTCGTTGAAGGATGAGTGGTACATGATTATTGCTTTGGCCGAGTGTTTATTGTTGACCCATTTATAAGGTGTAAACAATACTCCATTTTAATCCCTCGGCCAAATCTTTTTTCAAACATTTACAATTAAAAACAATTTCACTCAAAAATGAGTTAAATCAAGGTAACAATAATTCAACAAATAAAACCTAGTCTGGAATTTTTAGAGGAGAGAGAAAATGAACAGTGGAAATTATTTCCATATCTTGGCAAAATCAGCTAACAAACTCAAAGCCTAATAAAAGGGTTTTGTAGTTGTGCAAGAAAACTAAATTTTCTTTGCAAAATCTTTTTTAAGTGCAAAGAACCGAAGAACCAAAGACAAATATGAACCAAAGAAAAAAAATTGAAGAACCGAAAAGCTTGAAAAAGAGTGGAGAGAGAGAGAGAGAGAGAGAGAGAGAGAAATTTTGTTGGTTTTGGGAATGAAATAAAAAAAAAAAAGCTCAGCTATTAACCTTTACCCTTTTTTTTTTGGACATATAGGGGATTAAAATTGGGGGATGAGGTTATTTAGGTCAAAATTTTATATCCTAAAATAGAAAGATTCACAAATAGGCTTTTAATTTTTGGCAGCCCAAAAAAGAATACAAGCTTTTAATAAAAGGACGGAGGGATTACTAAAATAAAAGTAGTTAAATTTTTCTAAAGTTTTGTACCGGTAAAAATGTGTCAAACAAAATATACACATATATATATATATATATATATATATATATATATATATATATATATATATATATATATATATATATATATATATAGCTCTTCCAAAACATATACAAAACCACATTATAGAAATACCCAAACCAAGAGACGTAATCTTGTTCCTAACTTGGTAACCAGGAGCAGTGTTCAAAGGGGGCATACATATTTCGAGTCAATTAAGAATTTCGTGTGAAAACCTGAGAAGCACAAACATGCCATATTTTGTATGGATGAGTATGGATCGGATATCCGTATCCGAAAACTATGATATTTGATATTCGTATCCGATCCGATTTTTTTCGGATATCCGAAAAGATCGGTCGGATAGTTTGGATATCCAATACCCGACCCATTTAATAATATACTTTTTTTTATTAATATTTTATTAATAATATTGTTAAAAAAATATATTTAATGGCAAATTGATACTTCATGCTATATTAGGCCTATTCTTGATAAGTTTTATGGAAAAACTGAAAAAATAAACTGTCAAGAAAAATGAAACTTGTATATATTTCATTCATGACCAAATAATTAAACTCATAATTGTAATTATAAAGTACAATTATTCATATAAAATGTAACAGTCCCACAAATTTCAGAATTTAACAATCAAAGATTAACACATACGAAGTACTAATTAAGAAATATAAAAAGAAAAACCAAAGATTAATTTGTTATAAAATCAAAAATTAAAAAACCCAGAAAATTTTAACACTTATACACAGAAAAAAAAAATCATTGAAAACCTAAGTAAATGTGAAAAAATAATCAGAAAAAAAGATGAGTTGTTGAGAGTGAGAGAGCCGCCGCTGATAAGATGCTGATTGTGGAGCATCCGTAAGAAGGATGGAAGTTGGTGCTGCCGGAGGAGATGATTATTGTTATACAAAAATTCAGTGTGGGTGTTGATGATTTCTATAGTGGGATATTAGTCTTTGAAAGTTTGAGATATGAGGAGGATCTGAGAGGTCAAAGAGAAGATAGAGGAGAGAGAAAGAGGGAGGGGGAGAGGAGAGAGAAAGAGGGAGCGGTGGTGAGGGGATTCAGCATTTAGGGAATCAATGAAATAAGGGGTCGTTTGGTTCGCACAGGGTAATCGGAATGGAATGAACAAAGGGAAAGCCAAGGAATGGAATGAAATCACCTAAAATTGTGTATGTTGTTTGTTTTACAACAAAGAGAATGAGCCCCACCACCACATAGCCACCTACACTTTCACTCTCCACCGTTTCCAGCCACCACCCAGCCACCAAACCCCTCGCCGCTGCTCCCTCACCGTGCGCCTCCCTTCGCCGGCCGTCCCCGCCCCTCGCAAATCCTCCCTCAGCCCCGTAAAACTTACCTCAATTACGAATGAACCCTAGAAACCATTCTCCCTCACCATAAAAACAGTCGACAACCCTTCCCCCACCCTCGTAACCCTAGTGCCTAGGGTTTCGAGGGTGGTGGGAGAGGCGGCTGACGATTTTAAGGGGAGGGAAAAGAGTTTTTAGGGTTTTGCGGTGGTTATGGGACGTTTTATGGGGGAGGGGCAGATTTGCGGGGAGAGGGGAAGGGCAGCGATGGGAAGGGGCGGGGCGAGGCTTTGGGAGGGCTAGGCGGCGGTTTAACGGCAATAGGGAGGGCTGGGTGGGTGGTGGTGGTTATTTTTGCGGGGGTTGTGGTTATTTTTGCGGGGGTTGTGGTTGTTTTTGCGGGGGAGGGGAGGGCGGCGAGGATCGGGGGTGGGGCAGCGGTGGTCGGGGTAGGGTCGGCGGTGGTCAGGCATGGGCTGGTTTCCGGTGGTGTTGGTAGGTTTAAAGGTGGTGATGTGGTGGTGCTGGGGTGGCTAGGGAATGGAATGGAAATACCAAGGGGGGGTGGGGAATAGACTTAGAAGGAATTTGGGGAATGGAGGGGGTAAAGGGAATGAAAGAAAGTGCTAAACAAACATCAACAAAGGGAATCGGGCCAGTTAATTCCCATTCCCTTTCCTTGATACCTCCAACCAAACGGCCCCTAAGGGTTTAGGCTTTAGGTTAAGGTTTGGGCTTGGGCCTAGGAGTTGTTGTTTCATTTTATGGAAAAATAAAGTAAGTACTCCGTAGTTTTTTTCGGATATCGGATATCCGAAATCCAATATTTCGAGATCTGATATCTGATCCGATATCCGATTTTTTCGAATCGGTTATCCATAATTTTCGGATTGGTTGCGCATCGGATTATCGGATTGTTTTGCTCAGCCCTAATTTTGTACTAGGGTCTTATCCTTCACAAAACAAGCACAAGCATGCCATATTTTGTACAAGGGTCTTATCCTTCACAAAACAAGCTAGTTAACTGCCTTGCATATATGTGCTCTAGGTGACAGATGTGCCACATTTTCATGGATGTTTTGGCTAGTTATGATGTTGTATTGTCTCTTCACACTATCACTTCCAACTCTCACCTCATCTTCTCGCCTTGATTAAACTTGCAGCCTCTTCTAGCACTCCTTCAAAACTCAGTTAGTTAGGCATCTCCATATCAAACCCAATATCCCTACCTCACTACACAATTTTCTATTCATTTTTTCTCTTTTATATTCTAAAGTGCTAAGGGAATGCTCGAACATTAGTAGTGTACAACTATCTAGCTTATCCTTGTTTAAAGCATTTCAGTTTTTGAATTTGGCAAAGGACTAGCATTTCATCTCTATCCTGGTGTCTTTATTGTCGAGAGCTAAAGCTACCTCTTTTACATTAAATTGTCAAGAGGCTCAGTTGTTGACCTTGAAAACGTTGTTCTTGGAGTCTTAAAAGTTTACACATGGCTTTGAGAAGGATGTTTGAATTTCCGATTATTGGACAAGACTAATAACAGTTTACAGAAAAACCAAAATAAGACAATGTTCTCTTTCTTTCCTCATCCAAACAAAATAATTTGGTTAGTAGAGACACTTGATTATGACCGGTTTGTTTTTCGAGTCATCCTTTCCCGGGTTTTGAATTTAAAGGAGTTGTTAGGACTATTTATGGGTCTATTTAGCTTCCATTCATTGACCCTACAAAAAAGAAAAATTCAATTGCATAAATAGGGTCCGATGCAATTAAATTTAAGTTGGGCTATATAAAATATAAAGTGCAAAACAATATATTATGCGTAGAGGGCTGATTTTGGAAACCATTTCTAGGAATACCGTTTCTCTTATATTTGGAGAGGCACTATGGAAAGTAGAGTTTACTGAATTACACTATGGAAAGGAGAAACAATCTAAAGTCAAACAATATTTTTACCTAAACCAACCTAAGACAAGTATAAGGCAAGCAAAGGATCATATTTACAGGGAATGGGTATGAGAACACCAAGAATATGAAACAATTATTAGTTAGTTCGGTCACAAATTGGGATTTTGATTTATTAATAGCCTTGGAGATAAGTGCTAGGGAGAATGGGATTCAACACCATAGATCAACAAAGCGGATAGACATGAATCATACTTGGGTGATAGAATGGGAACTTAACATTGTCTTTTTCAAAGTCACAACATAAACATTTCCTACATTAAACAACTGACATGATAAAGAACAAGCCTCAATGGTAAGAAGTGGATTTCTAACTCGAGTTTGTGTTTTGATCGTTCTAAGATAGCATGAAGCACAAATAATTAGGAGTTCTCACTGAAATTATCACACTAAAGCATCCTAATCATTGAAACAACACAAATATAATCATAAAAAAGATATAATCCAATTGCACATGAAAAAACTCACTACCAAACCCCATATAATGTGAGAAAGGGACCAAATACACATGCAATCAATCAATTCAAGTACAAGCAGCACATCTAATTTAATCAATCCATGACTTGGTTGGGTTTTTACCCAACCTCCTAGCCTAAGAAACTACTTGTTACACATGGTGTAAAGTATTCTAACAATCAATTCTCAAGCTATCATGAATTCAATTTGAATAATGGAGAGATAAAACAAAGATGGATTGAGGAGAGAGAGAGAGAGAGAGAGAGAGAGAGAGAGAGAGAGCCCTTTTTTGACTTAATTCTTCTTTCTTGCTTCCCCATTAGCCATCATAGCCTCATTTCTCCTTCTCATTGCTTCTAAATTCTTTGCTTCTTTGACGAAGTGCTTTGCTTCTTTGAATCTAAAATAGTATAAAAAACAATAACAATCCTATGAAGTGAAGTATGTGATTCACACAAAATGCATAAAATTAGAGTAAATAGTGAACTAAGACATTGATTTTTCACAATACCAAGGCTCAAAACCACTGTACAACCATACTAAATAGCAAGCTATCAAACTACCACTATAAAAAGGAGAGTTCACGAATCAATGCATTTCAGTGAGTGCTTTGACTTGAAACCAGTATTTTCAAACTAATTCCCGTTCTGTCCGGAAATCCAGAAAGGGAGAAGGAGCGCGCTCGTCTTTTACTTTTATATGAGGCCCTATAGTAACTAGTTTTATATTGCCTCTTTGCCTTTCTTGTAAAGCGCACACCAATGCCCATACAGCTTCTTGTTCTTTACAAGGCTAGTTTGATTCTTTCAGCAATAACAACTCTCCTTGTGTTACAGGATGATGCTTGGTCTTTTTAGATTCCCTTTATCTTTTTCCCATTCTAGGATTTTATGCTTCCTCTAAGAGAGATCTTTAATTTATGTCCTAAACTCATGATCTGAACTTTCTTTTCTTGGATTCCAGATTTCCTGGTTGACCAAAATTATTTGTTTGGATGAAGAAAAAACGACAGCAATGTCTTTTTCCTTTTTTTTTTTTTTGGGTAAATTGTTGTCACGGCCTTATCTAAATTAAATACCCTTTTCAAAGCCATGTATCAGTTATATGACTCCAATAATAAGGGTTTCAAGTTTAACAAGCATGCCACTTTACAACTTAGTGTGAAAGAGATTGGTTAATATACTGAACCTTTCTCTGATTTTATCAAAGACCTCCCAAAAGAGAAACCTAAAGTGACCTCAACAGATTTCAAGAATATTTTGATGAGTATGGATGATGATGAGAGTAGGATTCAGATTCAATTTTGGAAGGCAATGTACTATTATGTGGTTGATTTAGTGAATATTCAAGGGAGGTTCTTAAAGATCTTTAGAAATTGAGGATATTAATGTGGCTAAGATCACGCTAGAGAAATTCTTGGAGTCGTTAATTGCAGCACAGACTATAGCTGAACTGTTCTAAAGAAGAAATATACTTCGCTAGTTGTGCTGTAGTGTTAGAGGTATGGATTAGCTACTTAGCTCATTTCCTACGTGTCACACACTCAAATTACAGCACTTTGTGAAGATTCTCCCAAAATTTTTCACCCATAATGATTCAATCAATTTGAACTACTACAATATCAAAAGCGTAACAAAGGATTTTTATTTCATTCAACTAACTAATCCATGAAACTGCTACATTTCCAATTTTAGTGTTGATTTGCAATGGTGTTCGGGTAACAATTGCCTAAAACCATTGCGTAAACTTCGTCTACATCCGACCAATGTTTAACTGTAGCCATTGTAGCGTACCAATTGTTGCTAATTCCACTAGTGTTTGTTTGCGTTGTTCTCTTTATATTTAGTGGAACAAGTTAAAAACACATCTGTTGTCTTTGTTTTTGCACCTAGCTTTGGAATTTGGTGGTGTTTTGACTTTTTTTTTTTTTTTTTTTTAGAAAAAATGTGTAACTTAATGTTTGCATGATATATATGTGAAAGTGTGAAACATTTTTTTTTTACTTTAGTCATAAAGTACTTCAAGCATATGTTATATTCATGAGATCACTTGTTTACACAAAAACATAAACAGATTGACTGTTGGAGGACTGAAGAGGAAAGCAACTTGGTAGTGAACTTGTGACGCTACAAGCTGATATGGAGTATTGGAGTGGTATCAAAAATGGTGAGCCACCAATTAGTATGATTCTAAATTGGTAATTATATTTCGTTTTCTTTCCTTGTGATGTAATTTCTATAATTAGGTTGTTAGACTTAGAACCCGCCTTTTCTTTTACTAGTTTTTTTTTTTTTTTTTTTTTTTTTTTTTGTTTTTTTTGTTTTTGTCTTCGTTGTTCAATGTGCATGGATTGTTCATAGTCTCCATACAATTGCTTTGAAAGAATCCATCCTAGCTTTTCCATAATATGTAAAACTCAGTCACAAATTTTTTATCCAAGACATTATTTATGATGTTATTATGACACAAGTACCTCCACAACTTTGCCTTCAAAGATTCAATAACAAAACAAATTGTTATCTTCACTTTGCCTTCAAAATCTTAATGACATTATTTGTGGAATCTGAAGATCCAATCGGTGACCCAAATAGCAAAATTGTACTTTAAAGTAAGCATCACACTGGCACTAGCCTTCTCTTCAATTCATTACTCCTTGCTTTGATGGCCCATCTCCATCTTTAAGACTCATCATGGTAACTGTCAAATAATTGACCAATTTCTGATTCAAATGCTCACACATTTTTTCACCTACATGTCATTGTACTAATTCTTTACTGTGTAAATGTATATGGTCATTCTGTGCCAAAATTGAAGTAAAGATGTGAGAGACAAAATAATTCTTATTTATGGAGAATGTTATCCTTGCTTCCCTTGCCAATTTTAACAGCCAAAATGGCAAAAAATAATCTTATTTAAAAATATAGTTGGACAGTCCCTTGCAATTTTCGAAAAATTCTAACTGATAACACAATCCTTTGTGGATACAACAAAAAAAATATGTGTTCATTCTGCCGCACAACAAAAAAATGTGTAATGTGCCAACAAAATCTGCCAGACTCTGAACCCAGAAAAGTTCATTGAATATGTTGGCCTGATATAGAAAGTTGAAATGTATTTTAGCAACCCTTTTAAAGCAAATGGAACCTCATTTTGTAAGTGACTCAGCCTATGGCAAAGAATGATTTGTACAACTACAGTACAGTAAACTCTTGAGTTCTTGAAGTATCATCATATGCTCGTTTTATTCCGCCAACTAATAATGTGTTTTTGCCTTCTAATTATATCCGTTGTGTTCTTCATTTCAATTTCCTATAAGTTGAATCTGCAAAGAAAGAACATGTATCTTTTAAGCCTTAATTTATGTAACAGATCGTCAGCTCTCAATTAAGACTGTTACATTTATGTTGCTAAACTCGTGAAGTAGTGCACCCTTTTTTCCTTTTCTCTTGTTGGGAGATTTTAGTAGTTTTGGTAATTGAGTTTTCTTAGTTGGACCCTATTCTCTTTACCTTATTTTTGTTTAACTTTGTTATTTTTATTAAACTGAATCTTTTTGCTGAAATGAGATTTAATTAAATTGCCTGAAATTTATTTTACCAATGAAAACTTATTTTTACTGATTGTCAATTATATTTGTTTTTTCAAGTTACCGATTTTTACTGATTAAAAATTATTTTTACTGAAATGAAATTATTAGGCCCTTATATGTCAAGATGTTTCTGATTGGTGTATTGGTGATGTATCATTTACTCTCCCTTTCTACTCTGTAATACTTATCTAGTGGTCAGTGGCGGATTACATTTTCTTTTTCCCTAAAAAGCCTGATAATATATCCACCCCCTTTGAGATTTTCGTTTTAGCATCAGCTATGTCTCCGAGATTTTTGGAATATAAAATTTCATGTGCAACTTCGTTTATAGTGACTCTAAACCTCAATAAGTCATGTAGTTACCATTAGAAAATGCAGAAATTAGACATAAAATAACAAACTATTTAAAGTAGACAAACACTTTTACTTCTTCCGGTTTTTTTAGTAGCATCACTTTCCTAAAACGGAAGTTTTAAATTAGTTGCATCACTTTCCTTTAGTTCATAAACACTCTCTATATCTCTCCTATTGCATGGGTTCATTTTTATATTCTCTCTATCTCTCTCATCTCTAAAAATTGTCTAGGAGTCTGTAATTTGCAAACTGATGTAATTAAAAAAACCACATAGGAAGTATTTAGAAAATCCCCTCTTCAAAGCCGCCAATTTGCTTTATTGCTTTAGTTGATGTGCATACGATAACAATAAACTCAATATATTAAGTCTAACGACATTTTTACTCTCAATGACACTAACTTTGCCTCATAATAGACTTTTGTTATAGGTTTTAGGAAATTTTTTCAAAAACTGCTTTTAAAATTTTTGTTGCAACTTGCCACCAACTGCCGGAAAGTGGATGTTGACCACTTACTCCGGCTACGTACATGACATTTTCTCTCTTTCGATTTCCCCCTAATGACATTTTCTCTTTTGATTTCCTTCTCTCTGTTTCCCTTCCCTTCCCTCCCTTGTCAAGTCACTGCCCTTTCTCTCACTTGTCCAATCGGCGCCACCCCTTTTTTCCTCATGGAGTCGCTGCTTAGATATGGGGTTTTGAAGGGAAGTGGATTGGTTTTATGGTGGTGGGTTGTAGGTAGCTACTTCACGATTGATTGGGGTGAGTTTTGCTATTGGTTTGGCTTGGTGGGTTTTGCTACTGGGGCGGGTGAATGGGTGGGCGACCTGTGGTCGGTGGTTTTGGGTTGTTCAGTGATGGTGTATTGGTATTGGGGTGGTCAGTGGTGGTATTGGGATGGTCAGTGGTGTATTGGGGTGGTGGGGAATTAGGGTTCAGTAAGCTAGGTTAACACCGAAAAAATGGTCTAAATTTACATTCCGGCAATTGGGGGTACGTTGCAACAAAAAATTTAAGGAAAATTTGCCAATTACTACCGCAAGTTAATACTACTTTATAAATTACTACCGCAAATTAAAAAAGTTATGAATTATTACCGCAAAAAATTTTAAGATGTTGCGATTACTACCAAACCTCCATTAAACCCAACTATGACGTCATTATATCACTTTAACCCATGGTTAAAACCCTTAACCATGACGTCATTATATCCCTAATCCATTTTCTTTTTTTTTTTGGGGGGGGGGGGCTGGTTAAAGCCCTTAACCATGGTCAAACACGGATTAAAGGGATATAATGACGTCATAGTTGGGTTTAATGGGAGTTTGGTAATAATCGCAACATCTTAAAAAAAATTTCGGTAGTAATTCACAACTTTTTTTTTAATTTGCGTTAGTAATTTACAAAGTGGTGTTAACTTGCGGTAGTAATTGACAAATTATCCAAAATTTAAATTGGTTTTTCACCAAAAAAAAAAAAGGTGGTTTCTAACAAAATTTTCTACATTTTATTTATCAAAAGTACTAAATGTAGTACAAAATAACCTAAATGCAGGATTTATTTATTTATATGAAAATAATAAAAGACTAAAATACCCTTTATTCAATTTTTAGAACTCAATATTCCATTTCAACTTGAACGTAAAATTCAACTTAAAATTTTTTCCATTTCTATGGTCTACCTTTACTAATCCCACGACATTTTGCTAATCCCATAAATTTTTGCTAATCCCACAAATTTCACATTCATTTTGTCTCCCATCTAAGGTAATTTATATGTGTAATTTCGTTCTTATTTTTTTTAATACTATGTATAATATTTCGTTCTTTTATTTTTTCGAGGGTTATCCCCGGAAATATTATCAGGGGGTACTTTTGACCCCGGAAATCTTATCTGGGGGGTGCCATTGACCCCCGGAAATCTATCTAGGGGGGTACTTTTGACCCCGAAAATCTATATGGGGGGTACTTTTGACCCCGGAAATCTTATATGGGGGGTGCCATTGACCCCCGGAAATCTTATCTGGGGGGTACCATTGACCCCCGGAAACACATCTTGACACCCTGACATGCCCCCAATAAAATCGCATAATATGGAAATTTTATTATAATTTGTTTGATTGCTCATCTATAATTAGATTTTGCGGAGAAAAAATACAACACATAATTTTCATACCTCAAAAAAATCGTCGTAGTTCACTTCATTATTGTCCATGAATTTGTACAGTATTGAATATTAAATAGGATGAAAGGTTGAATAGCGGTGGTGATGATTATATAGTTAAATGTGTAAATAATTAAATAAAAACAAGGGCAAAATTGGAATATAATCATTTTAAAAAAATTAACTTATTCTGCATTTAAGTAGAATTGTACTTGCATTTAGTACTCCCCTTATTTATTTGTAGTAATTTTTGATTAAGAAATTTTTATGACGCATGCAAAAAAGGTCAACCAAGAAAAATAGAAATACAGATTTACGCGGTTATCTAATAATGTGCTACTCGTATCTACGATTCTACATGACTACACCCATGAACACAGAAAATTTAATTGATTTTAAGGTATTACATATAATACTCTCATTATTGTTCTTTTTAATTAACACACTTCTCTTATAAAGTTCTTATTTATTCAACACACTTTGCTTTCTTTCTATAAATGGCATATGCCTCCTAATTCTTTTTATTTATTTATTTATTATTATTTTTTTTAGGATAGAGTGTGCTCATCTATCAAGTAATAACTAAACTCGGTTTCACTAACTAGTAGTAAGTGTAAGAACGGGATGAATGGTTGAACTCAAGAGAGTTTAAATACTACTTCCTCCATTTTTTTTTTCTTAATTGCACTATTTGTCACTTCACGCTTGCCGATGCAATAATTTGGTCATTAATATATTTTATTATAGTTAAGTTAAATTTTAAAAATTTGATATTTGAAAAGTAGACATCGAGACAAATCTAACAAGATTTTACATGAATTTATTTTTCCTTACCGATAAATCACAAAAGAGGGTCAGAGGAAGTTTTTATGCCAATTACCAATTTTAATTGATTAGAGAATAAAAATGAAAATTACAATAATAAGGTCTAAGGTCTACAATTTCATATAAGGGAGACAATAAAATGTAGGAGAGGCTCTCAAAGGTGTTTGAGAGATTGTGACATGCATTTGATCGTTAAACTTGCAAAAAGGGCGAAGCCAACTCAAGGTAACCAGTTAACCACTAAAACACCGAAAATAGGTCAAAATTATACAAGTCTGAAAAAGACTAAAATAGTGAAAATTAAATACTAACTCCGTTACATATTATTTGCAACGATTAAACATTTTTCCTCTCTACTATATGTCAAATCGTTGCAAATAATATGCAACGAAGGTAATAGAAATGGAGGTTAGAAAAGATTAAAATATAGGGGAAAAAAGTGCTTCAAAAGTTAAGTAAAAATATTAAATTACCAATCGAAACTCCACTTATCAAGCTCCCCCTTAACTAGCCAAGCTTGTCCACAAGCAGTCAAAGTTTAACTATCCAAAAGAAGCTTGGTATATGGTTCCCTCTAAAATCATGCATGTAATGACTCAAAGTTTTTCGAAAACAAGTAAATAGAGCATAAACTGTAAGACGAAGAACGAGCATTGAGCAGACTAACTCCAAACTGGCAAACCCGTGCGATACTAACATGGTTGGTACTAACATTCAAGCCATGCCCTTCCCCCCAAAGCTCAAATCATAAGCGTCTAAGTGACATAACAATTAATTGCTTGTGGCTACAAAGTGACATCACAAGCGTTCAAGTAGGAGCTAGAAAATGAAAGAGGAGAGAAAAAAATCTCATCACGAACCATGCTCTCCATATGCTTGAAAAGTAACTTTGTCCATCAACAAAGACTTAAATTTAAGGTATGATATAATTTAGAAAAAAAATATATATATATTTTTCATTTTTTTTCCTTTTTTAAACACAAGATTAAGAAGTTAACCTAGCTTCCAACTTTCATGAAACAAACCTCAGTGGGATTACATTTCCCTCTTTTCTTTTACTTTTGCGGTTTTTTACCCTTTCCTAGTGCTTCCTTCATTCATCACCTTTTAGAAAGCATACTCCATTAGCCTACAAGTGTTGAAACATATGAAGGTCATGGCTTGTATTGTGGCTATGAAGGAGAAGGTGGGGGGTCTATTTTATGTACTCTTTCCATTTCCTAATGTTACATTTATTCGTCTCAATGAGTAATTTATTAATTTTTGCTTGTTAGTTTGAAATTAAAGATACTTGTGGTTAAAGATTTGCATCGGTATACGTAAATGAGACTAACATTAGGAATCGGAGGAAGTAATATTATATCCGCCGTCTCATTGTCACATTTGTGTTCCTTAGAGTTATTTTTATTAATATTATGCATTTTCTAGTGTTTTTGTAGTGTTAGTATTATTTTGTATGAATTTACATTTTTCATGACAATTTTTTGAGCATATGGGACCACTACGGAGATTGGATTGTATTATAAGACCAATCGAGATTTGGATCCGAATATCGAACCCGAGAGAATTTGAAGCCAAGGTTGAGTAAGAGAAATGGAGTCCAATGATTAAGTGCTTGGTTCATTGAGTGATAGCATGGCAAGTCCAAGTGAAGAGAGCCGAAAGAAAGGCCATGAGTCAAAGAACCGAGGCCTAAAGTCAATTATAAAGTCAAGAGCTCAAGGCCAAGAAGAAATTAGCTTAATAGTGTGTTTGGATAAAGAAAGTGGAAGGAAAAGAAGGGGAGGGAGGAGAATAGGAGGGGAGAGAAAGGAAGGGGAAGGAAGAATGACGAGTTTTCCTTCTAAATCTCTCTATTGTTGGAGGGATCAATTTCCTACAATTTAATCCTTCCATTTCTCTCCCCTCCAATTCCCATCCTTCCATTTCTTTCCTCTCCAATTACCATCCTTCCTCATTTGTTATTCAAATGAAAGATATCCTATCTCTCCATTTTCTTTCCCTCCATTTCATTCAATCCAAAATTCCAAACACACCGTAAAGGAGGCTTTAGCCTTAGGTTGAGTTGGCCCCAAGCCCCCAACTATCATCATACTTGGGTGGATTACTTGTTAAATTGTGGATTATATCTAAGGGTGGATTTAATTATTATTATTGATTGTGGATTGTTTGCTTGAATTTATCGTTGGTTTGCTTGAATTTATCGTTGGTTTGCTTGAATTGTTGTTTGCGAGGTTTGTTGTAACACCCCATAGTTCTCCTTTTCAAACTAAAATAGTTGGTGGCTCAAGCGTTGCCCCAAGTCATTGTATTACATGTTTTATATAAAAATGGAAAAATCGGTAAAAATAATCCCAACTTTAACGATTTCGCTTTAAATAATTCTAACTTTGGATTAAGAAAATTTTAGATTTTAACACTAGCAAAAAACCCCAAAATGGTTTTTAACACCCCCATAAAACAATTTATTTTAACACCATAACATTTTTCGAAAATTTGATTTTATTACCACTTTACTGATTTCGTTCAAGAATTTATAAATGGGGCCATAAAGCCACGTATCACTTTATTATTGGCCAAAAAAAGATTTTTTTTTTTTTAAAAAAACCTAAAAAATCCCAGCCATTACCGCCCCACCACTGCCACCTTCACCCAACGCTGGTAGGGCAGACCGACGGCGCATCCCCTCCCCCTCCCTTTCTCGCAACCCTAAACAGCCCCAAAAACCAACCAAGCCAAAACGGCCACGATCCCCCGGTTAAGGCCACTTAGCCCTAAACCGCCCATCAAAGGTCATTGGTAAGAAGATGAAGACGAAGAAGAAGAAGAACATTAGAGTAGCTTCGTCACATCCTTGAAATGGAGAAAGCACAAGGTAACATTTCTGTTCATTAATTGACTTTTGACATAGAAATTTTGCAAAACTTCAGGAAATAAAATTACTTCACTCTAGTCTTGAACATAATGAAGATATAAGATTGGCCAATTAGCCAAATTAGAGTAAAAGTTAGCACCCGTGTGACATATTGGTATAAAAGTTATCGTCGGCGACATATTGGTATAAAAGTTAGTCACCGACGACATATTAGTATAAAAGTTAACAAATTGCGACAAATTGGTATTAAAATTAATAAGTTGTAACATTTCACCCTTCTAATCTTGCCAAATAAGTTTTTTTTTTTTTTTTTTTGTTAATTCTCATTTTATGCTAAATAATTCTCTCATCCATGCTCATTCACCTAAGATAATTGAAAAATATAAAAAAAAAATAATTTGTGAATTAAAAAAATATCTCAAATGAATGGAAAGAGAAATTTATATAATTTAATGTCTTAAGAGTTAAAATTGGCATGTAATAAGTTGTAATATTTAAGAAGTTGGGAGCAAATATACTTATATAAAATTGAATATCGGAAAAAAAAAGCTTGATATAATCTTGAAAATATTTAATCAAAGAGTTTGATCTTGTATTTTTTCTTGATTATTTATTCTGCATAATCAAGAATATTTATCTATATTTTCCTTTTTTTATTCTTTAACTTTTTTTGGGGCTTTTAATAGTGTCCAAAATAATTTAAATTAAATATTTGAAGCAAAAAAATAAATAGAAAAAAAGGTAAAGAAAAACAATAGATTTAACTCATTTAAGCTACAAGCAAGAATAAGAATAATCATTTGTACAATATACGCTTATTCTTCTAACAAGAAAGATGGTTAAATGTCATCACTAATAAACTTTTATACCAATGTGTCATCACATGGTTTACTTTTATACTAATATATCACCGGTGACTAACTTTTATACCAATCTGTCACAACTTGCTAATTTTTATACCAATCTGTCACCGGCGATAACTTTTATACCAATTTGTCACAAGGGTGTTAACTTTTATACCAATTTGACTAATTGGCCATATAAGATCAATGAAAACGAAATACTGGAGTAAATGTGCAAGAAAGAATGTATTAAAGGCTTTTGTTGAAATTATAAATATAGAAGAGGAAGCAATATAGAATTTCATTAACATACTGATATATTGCTTCATCGTCAATTACGAAGTACAAGAGCAATATATATAAAACTAATACACCTAAAAACAAAGTCCTAATAATATGCCCCACTTAATTGCTTAACAAATCAAACTTACAAAACTACTAATTCTATTAGTTAGAGACGCACTTCACACTGCTTAACACATCCTGCATCCAGCTCTATGTATCCATCAAACCATATAGAATGGAATTTTCGATAAACACCCAAATTTTAATTAAGATATCGGCGAATATCCAATGCCGCATTTGTATAATTGAACAAAAAGCTGATGTTTTGTAATTATCTCCACCTGTGATTCAGGAGATTGAGACATCAAATATTGTTGTAATAGACAGTATTGAGAAGTTATTTCCATGCTCTTTAATAATGTAAAAAACAAAATTCAATGAATTATACCGTGTTGAATTACTAACCTTGCGATATCAACGTGTGGAATGTGCTTAATTTTTGGCTGGTCCATGCTTAGTTGTTCGCATCCTTGTTCGAGGTATGGACAACCTGCTATATCAAGTCTCTGAAGGGACGTGAGGTTTCGCATCGACTCAGGAAGTGATTTGAGGGATTCACAGTATTTGATGGACAGGGATTGAAGAGAAGATGAGCAATCTATCCATTCTGGTAAGGCTTCGAGGTTATCACACCAACAAAGTTGAAGGGTTTGGAGAGAGGTCAAGTACTGAATCCCATTTGGTAAGCTCCTCATACTTCGATGGATTGATATGTAAGAGAACGAAGACTCCGATCAAGAGATTTCCAAGGCACTCCATACTCATCATCTTTGTCTTCACATATGCTCATTTGTTTGTTGCTGGATATTTGTAGCGATTCCAAAGAAGTAAAATTCTCAATCCCGGAAAGTCTCCTGAGATTTTCGCATTCCTCAATAGTCAAGCTTCGCAAGGAAGATAATCTAGCATTGTCATTTCCTTCCTTGTCTATCATGTTTAATATCATTCCCAACCATTCACTGCTACCGCGCAACTCCAATTTTTCTAGCCTTGGATAAGGGGGAAACGACGTCAAATTATGGCACCACTCGATTTTCAGTGAAGAGAGACAGGGGAATATCGATTTCCTATCATCACCAACGATCAACTCATCCGCTCTCCACCATCCTTTGAAGCATCTGAGATGACTTAATTGAAGATATTTAAGCGAGGGGAAAAATGTTGTTAAATCTTCTTCGTCGTGGCTAGTGATGTTTCCTGCATCCTCCATATACTCCAACTTATCTAATCTGAAAAGTACCAGTGATCTTAGATAAGGCAGCTTGCTGAACGAAGGTATCCACTCCAAATTCGGACAAATTGTAAGCTCAATCTTGACAAGGCTTGGGAGGTAGATTGACCAATTATGCTCTGCTCTTGCCCACCATGGAATTGATGTGCCCATATAGTCGATCAGCTTCAACCCCTTGAGATTTGAATGCGGCTCAAGCGCTTTCATCACAACTTCTGGCTCAAGACATCCATGAAATACACCCTCAAACTCGATTTCAATTTCTAAGAGATGCTTCGTGTTCATCAAGTACTGCCCTCCTTCATCATCGACACATTCCGAATTTACATTGTTGTCACCAAATTTGATATGAAGGCCGCCTTTTAAATTCTTGAGGGCTTCTAAATCCTTCAACTCCCAATTAAATTGTTTCTCTCTTGAATATTTCTCCCCCTTTCCTACCACAAACAATGGAAGTATTGCAAGACTAGTCAACTTATTCATGCCAAAAGGCATACCAGTTAGCATGTTACAATATCTTAAATCTAAATGCCCAAGGTTTACTAGTTTGCTAAAATCTTTAGGCAACTCCCTCAAATTTTTACACCCACCTAAAACTAACGTCTGAAGATTATAAAGTTTTACAATTGAATCTGGGAGTACCTCAAATTCGTTTTCAAACAGACTAAGATACCTTAAATGCAGCAGCAAGCCTAATGACTCAAGTGAACTTTTAACTCCTAAATTTTGCAACTCCAACACCCTTAAGCATCTCCAGTTGACTTTTTTAACCACAAAATTACGATATTCATTGAGATGAATAAAAGATCGCAATTTGGGTTAGCTAAAGAGTTCTCTATGTATACCTCACCAACAAAAGACACATGACGTGTTTTATCCCTGAAGTTGTTCGTAATAGAACTCATCACAACACAAAATTCATTCCCTCCCACCTCTTGAGCAACGTCGTGCATCAAGTCATGTATCTTCACTGACCGAACATGACCATACTGATCTTTTGCTAAATCTTGAAAAAAACATCTCCGCAACAAGATGAAGAAATGTTCTTCTGCAGCATCTTCTATACTTTGACCTCCATCTAATGGCATTATATACCCTTGTGCTAACCAGAGGCTAATCAATGTCACTTTATTTATCGTAAAATCCTTGGGAAACACTGCACAGTAGCTAAAACAACTTTTCAATGAAGGACTGAGATTGTGGTAACTAAGCTTCAGAATGGACATAATTTCATTTTCACCATTTCTGATTTCACTTAATCCACTCTGTTCAAAAGAGTGCCACATACTAATATCCTGACCATATAACAAACTTCCTACCACTTTTATAGCAAGAGGAATGTTATAACATTTTTCGACAATCTTCTTCCCAATCTCAGATAAATATTGAAAATTTTCATGCTCACATTCTCCATCCAATGCAGACATCTCAAATAAGCGCCACGAATCTTCGTCGGACAAGCCATCTAACCTATAGACATGTTTATCCCCAATGACTGTAGCTGTCATCTCCGAACGTGTGGTGACCACAACCCTACTTCCTAGTTGCCCCAACGTCAAGAATTTTTTCAAATTAAGCCACTTCTTACGATTCTCGTTCCATACATCATCAAGCACAAGGAAGTACTTCTGCCCTCTTAATCTCTCTTGAAATTGATTTTGAACAAATTCCATTGAAGAAGTACCGTCAAATTTTTGACCAGTAACTAACTCTAAAATCTTACATAAGATTGCTTTCAAATCAAATTCCTCTCCGTCTTGATCGGATACACAAACCCACAACCTCAAAGTCGGAAACTCTTTCTTAATCATTTCATCATTATACACAAGTTGAGCGAGAGCTGTTTTTCCCAACCCTCCAACTCCCACTATCGTCAAGAAACAACATTCTTCATCATCATTATTATGATCCAGTAAAATATCTATTATCGCTTTCTTATCATCATCCCTCCCAATAATATCCTTTGCATCAATATAAGAACATGTTTCCTCCCTTCTCCTACTAATAGGTTTGTAATCAACATCAAACCCGAACTTTTTATGGTCACCAGCAATAGCATCTAACCTTTTCTTAATCTCCTTAACCTGGCGAGACATTCTATAGGCCTGACCCACTTGGTTCTTAGACGAAAAGAACGAACGTACCTTGTTAGAAAACTTTGCACCCTTGCTTTCTGGCCTAAGCAACTTGAGCTCCGCAAGAGTGCGAAACTCATCAAATAGATCATCAGCATCATAAACAGCAGCCTTGAGGTCCTCAATATAAGCTTGTGACACTTTAGATAGCTCGCGCTTGGACTCTGCATCAAAGAACACATTCTTAATGGTGGAGAGTTTATATTTAAATCAATCTTATATCCATAAAAATATCCGTTTCTTAATATTTAAACGAGGATTCCCCCAGTTTCTCATGATGAGAAACGAATTCGTTTCTCATGGTGGCATTTTTGTGAATAAATCAACAACTTTTTCAACTTTATTCAACTGTGGAGCCCACAATATTGAAAAAGTTGTTGATTTACTTACGAAAATGCCCCCATGAGAAACAAATTTCGTTTCTCACCATGAGAAACAGGGAATTTCCCTATTTAAACCCATCTTTTACTCTCTCTATTTCTTTTTATATTAATTTTCCTATTTATACCTTATTAGACATTTATATTTCTACATTGAACTCGATATATTTTTACTTGTTAATCACTAAATCAAAGTAGTTCAACTAAATTTTAGAAAATTGCACAACTACACAACATCCAACACATTATTTATCGTCAATATATGCAAATAATCTTAATAAAATATTATATAAACATGCATAAGCCATAAAGAATATTGGTAATAATTCTTCTCAAAGGGCTAGTTATACCTTGCGCATCACGCGTGTTGGAATCCCTAGTATTGAGAAAGCTAAGGTTGAAAGGTTACACGATATAAAGGGTAAATTAAAATAAAAATAAAATAAAGTGAATAAATATATATAAATAAAAATGAGTAAATTTGTTGAAAGACCAATGATATACCAAGTGAAAAAAATCGGTTTTTAATCAGTTCGGTTCTCATTTGGTTGGTTGGCTTCAGACAGTTAAACAGTTTTGGTTTGAAATTTGACAATGCTATATGCTATATATCTTTTAATAATTTTATTTTAGAATAAATTGTGAATTTTCTCTCATTCGCTATGTATTTAGATAAAATCTCTAATATCAAAAGATAATACTTTGTAAAATCTCATCACCAATTTTGGTAATCTAAGAATATAACATTTTCTTTTTAATTAATTTAAACTGTAAAGTTTCATTCACCAATTTTGGTTGTGTGGCCATTATTTAATTCTAAAAGAATTTATAATCTTTTATTTAATTGGCTATAAATAAAATTTACTCCCTCCATCCCATAATATAAATCCTGTTATTCTATTTTGGAGATCCAAAATATTGTTCTTGTTTTTAGATAGTGTGTTTGTAGGTGATTCCCCCACCAATAGCCGTAATGGTGTATCAACGCTGATGGTCGGCGACCATTGTTGGCTCCGACGGTCTATAGTCATCAGTGGTCAAGAAACGCCGGCAACCACTAAAATTGTAGGTGATTCTTCCACCAACAACCAAAAGCGTCGGTAAAACGGATGTCGTTGATAAAACATACATTGATAACAGTGGCAAACCCAGGAATTTGCTCTTAAGGGTTCGGAATTTCAAAATGTATAGTAAAATCAAGTATCATAATTCAAAATAAGTTGAGTGTACACAATACATGTCAATTTGAGATGATGGAGGTCCATTTTAAGGTGGCTCATCAATTAGAATTGAATTTGGGGAGGAATAAGATGATTTTTGTATGTTTTTGATACACAATTTTAATTTCCAAAAATACTACAAAAAAAAAAAAAAGCCAAAATATATCCATGTTAACATATACTATTTCACATTACCCAATGCCCATTAAGTAATTTACAATTTAACAATTTTACAACTTCAATGAACAATTTCACAACTTAAATCAACCAATTTACTACCTATTTCACAACTTCAATCAACAATTTCACAACTTTCTATCAACAATAATTGGTATATAGTATATTACCAACTTCACTCAACAATTTTACAATCTATGGTCAACAATTTTCCAACTTTAATTATTAAATAGTTTGTGTTCCGAGAAATATCCCAGGTTTTGTGCAAATACAAAATGACAAAATTACTTTAATTTAAATAGCAATTTGAAAATTTTAAATAGCAATTGAAAAAATATTAATTTTAAAAAGAAAAAATATATATATGTGTTGGAATAGAAAGAGAGATGCGGTAATATACTTGTAATTATACTGTCTAATTGCTAAGCTGGTATTAAATCTAGAAAATTAACATCTAAGGAATCAACAACCATTAATATGTGATTAATTTCTTATAAATTATATTGTAGTTTTTTGTGCATTATTTACTTAGAGGTTATATTATTCTAGGGAAAAATTAATTAGGAAGGTTAAATGGGGTTTTCTTTAAGTGTAACCCCTATAACCATAACAAGGTAACCTTTATAACCCTAACCGAGCAATCCCATGCTAGTTGACCACACCGCGTGGCTAGCACATATCAAAGTTAGTGTTTGCCTTTAATTAGTACTACTTCCGGTCCAAATTAGTCGCAACTTTGGGATATTATTTGTGAGATATAAAATATTCTAAAGTTGTGAATAATTTGGACCGGAGGTAGTATAACAATTGTGAAAAAACAAAAAAAAAAATAGAAAAAAAAGGTCAGAGAGAGTTTAATTTTATTAAACCAAACAGTTAAAAATTGATATGAGGTTTAGATTCCATTCTAACTAGACATTGAAATCCGACGGGGTTATAGTTTGCTTCTTTCCCAATGATATACTTCGTAATATGTTAATGTTAATCATTTAGCTTGTATAAATCTTAGCTGCATATGCATTTGAAAATATACATATAGTTTCTTGTCTATTAAATTCTTGTTATCAGCCTTACGAGTAAAGAGTGTACGACTAGCTGTATTTCGTCGATCTAGTAATAAGGTTCTTTAAGATGCAAGCAATTGAGAAGCACGGGTCATTTGGCTCCAATAGTCCACCAAATTGGAATGTAATACTTGAAGAAAGGGCGCGTATCAAAGAAATTATTATTCACTACGGTTTCATTGTTGATTCAATTGGGTTCTTACTTGAAGATAGTAATGGAAGAACCACTGCTAAATTGTTTGGCGGCCGAGGCGGAGCCTGTTCCAAGGTAAGTACTAAGTACAGCTACAATAATATACGCATGATTCAGAAGAATGATATACTTGGTCTTAGTCTATTGAGTTATTTTAACATATATTGAGAAAGAATATTTCCTTCAATTAGTCTCAAGTTTTCATCCTTATCATCAATCAACTTAATTAGCTTATATAAATCCATTCATTATGGTTATATGATGTGCAGATTACTCTGAAGCCTGATGAATATATAACACGAATAAGCGGCAGATGTGGGATTTATGCGCACAGCTATGATCATGTAATCGCGTCGTTAAGAATACACACCAACTTATGTGAGGGGGGATACGGACCATACGGACTAGAAAAAGATGTTAGACATAGTTGCAGTTTTTCAACTCCAGATTCCGGAGGGGATGATGGCACTATCGTTAAAATTTATGGAAGACATGATGTCAACTATCTTCAATCAATTGGTGTTTGTTTTAACAAGGTTAGACCATTTTCCAAGTTTAAGTTAATTTGCATATTTCAACTTTTTAAAGTAATCTTAGTTTGTATTTTTTTTTATTTGTATCACTTTTGTTATCATGGACTCCTACACAATTTTTGGAGTAAAGAAAAGAGAAAAAATAAACAGAGCAATCAATTTGGTAGGAGAGATATAGAGATATATGATTTATTAGTTTAAAAGGAAAATGATGCATCTAATTTAAGTAACTAAAAAAACGGACAAAGTAATAATCATGTATGGCTCTTGTCTTAGTGGTAATGGTTTGGTCTCATGTTTTAAAGGTCATGTGATAAAATCTCATAGCTATTTGACGGCAAAGATCCCTTTTATCTTTTCCCCTCTTTTGTAATATACATCCTCTGTTCTCTTATAATATGGAACGCTTTGACTTATATACTATTCATAAACTCCACTTTGACCAGCTTTGATGACTTATAACTAAGAAAATATATAGTCAGGTAGAATGTTACATTTGTCTCGATTTTTTTTTATTATTATAAAATTTATTTTGAAAAATTAAAAAATAACACATTAAATTTCACAAAAAATGGATTATAACACCATAAAATATCAAACTTTTATTATAACACCACAAAAAAAAATCAAAAAAATTTGATTTCACCACCACCTAACGGATTCTTAAATGGAATTGCTAGCGGGGCTCACTGTCAAAACGTGTCATTCAGTGATTTGTTTAATAAAGAAAAGTTAAAAAAAAAGATAAAAAAACCCTAAACCCTAACCCATCCCAGCCCACCACTGGAACCACCAAAGCTAGCCTCCGATAGCCCAAAGCTAGCCACCGACATCCTAAACCCAACTGCCGCAACCCCCGGCCCAGACCCCATCAAAACTGCCGACTCCACCACTTCCTCCCTTCTCCTTCTTTGAAAACCACCTTATTCCTAGGGGTGGGCAAAAAATTCGATCCGATTGATCCGATCCGCGATCCGACTGATGCAATCCGAAAATTCGGATACCCGATCCGATTTTTTACATTTCGGATAATTCGAATCGGATATCCGAAAATTTTCGGATCGGATTCGGATCACGAAATTTGAAAAATCGGATTTCCGATCCGATCCGAAAATTACTTTTAAAAAAAAAAATTAAAAACAATTACAATTAGATTCCTACGTCTATAGGGGTCTTCATTCAGCTCTAAACGGAAAGAAAAATCAGAATTCTAAACCCCTAATTTTGAAAACCCTAATCTCTCTCAAACCCTCTTACTATCATACTACTTTTTCCTCTTTCTTCCCAACTACTCTTCAACCCTAATTGAATCCATTGAAGCCCTTGGAGGTACAAAGAAGGAAGAAGGTCCATACACATCCAAGACGGAGATCTAAGCATATAAAGAAGAATGGTTAGTTTCCTGAGCACTTAGATAAATCACTTTTCTTTTATTGTTTAAATAACTTTAATTGAATAAATAGTGTTGATTGATCACTTTAAACAAACTTTTAATTAATTAATTCACATAATATTGTTTTGTTAATCAAGAATAGAATTTGATAATTAAATGTGTTTTATCACTTAAGAGAAGGCGAATATTATTTATTTTGTTCTTTTCACGAATATTGATTAAATAAGAATAACGACTTTTGCAATGTACTTCCTACGTGATTGACGCTTGTAAATAAAGTCAACTAACTTAGTTTTTAGGTATCACGTTGCATATATTGTTTGGTAATGAAATTGTGAAAAAGGAAGAGCTAGTAGAGGCCGTACTAGGGCTAAGATAGCGATTCCCCTCTAAAGGGAAAGTTATCTTAGTACCCTCGCTCCCGAACTCATTTCTAGTTTATGTAGAACAATTTGGGCATGGGTAAACTTACAATTTGTGCTAATTATCCCATGAACTCCACACGGGAGAAAGGCATGAACGAGGTTTATAAGTTTTCCCAAAACTCATTGGCGACTCCT